AAAACCCAGGTTTCCTCAAGGCACGTTAGACTGTTTAGAAAATAAAGGCAATAGGTTTATGTGGTTGTTAGCAGGGTTTACCCTGAAGTGATTTGTTTGTTGATCACTAAAGGGCATAAAAAGTATATGAATGTTCCTTTTTCCTTCCTCTTCCTGAAGGCAATGTAAACTCCTTGCACACATACCTCCTAATATGTGGTGAATTTTACAGTATTACGTATTAACAAACTGCAGGAAACACCAGAGCAGCTATAGAACAGCTAGAAAAATGAGGAATTTTCTTTGTATTTGCTTTTCAGTTAATTATTTCCTCTTTAAGAAGGATGAAAAAGCTTTTCCAGCCTCAGCCATTTATATCCACTTAACACAATTCTGAAATTCTATAAATGGATTTGAAATTACGTAATTTATCCTAGTCGAGAACTTCTCTATTGAATTCAAACAACTCTAAAACATGCTTTCTGGTTCAGTTTTGAAATGGAAGTGGTACGACAATGTACAGCACAAGACTTCCCCATTTAATCATTCCAAGTGCTTACGAACAGAAAAGTAAGGCAAGTTGTAAGGTCTGCATTAATATAAACACTCCAATGACCTCTCATACCCCATGGCACAGTAAGAACTCAATTTCACATTAATAAACCCTAACATCAAACTGTTAGAAACTGAAAAGACACCAGGTATTACAATTTATATAAATTACAGCAGAGATCAAATGGCCTGTAGAAGCAATCGTATAGTGATAAAACCTAAGTGGATGATATTTAAACACATATTTGATTTATTTTATATCTGCAGAATTTTATATCATGCTGGAATTCAAAAGAGAGTTTGGAAGTCCAGAGTAAAGAAATCCCCGTCCCATGCAAAACACTTAAGATTGTCTCTCTAAAGAATTCTTGACTGATATTTCTCAGGGCACAGAAGCCAAACGAAAACCTTAACATTTAACAAGAGAATGAATACGCTAATTCTTCATCCTCAGTTTTCTGTGAGTTAAGTCTTGTGAACTTCATTTTTTTTGGCTATCTAATACAGCTGGCTGTGGTTTCTTCCATTTAAAAAAAAAAACACACACACACTGTTGTTAAGTTTGAGGACCTGTCCTTCAAGTTCTTTAAAAAGATGTGCAAATTGTAAAAGACTGAAGAACAGACAGCACCATCTTTCATTAATGGCAGCAACACCATTAGTTAATATTAATCATTAATCTATTGGAAAGCTGTTTTCTGCTCAAGTTTCAGATGCTTCACAGCAGTATTCCCAGCCAGCATTTCTGAGATTCCTCGGAATAGCCCTACTTTTTCTAGCTAAGCAAGTTCACGAAACAAGCAGAATGTAAGGAATAAAGTAAGAGCTGAAGGTGCAGAAGAAGAATCATGCAGATGTACATTTCTTTCCCATACCGATCAGGAGACCTAAGAGGTGTGCCACAAAGGCACATCTGTAACACAGAAATGCCTTGTCTTGAACCAAACTTTGACACCTGAGCAGATTACAAACGGCTCTCCTGAGACCAGACGACCCTGCTATTCCCCAGCAGAGAGCAACAATAGAGAATTCCTGGGGAAAAAATTATCCATCAAGATTTATCAAAAATAAATAAATAAATAAATCGCAGGCTTCCAATCCGATCCAGGAAAACCTATCAGCCAATAGTTGCAGCTGCAGTAATTGTTCTAAATCTATCAATAAAGCTAAGCTGCTCCTTCATTGACTGCAAACACCAATTTCTTTCATGGAGGATTATAAGTTGATGTTCATGGTCTCTCTACCACCATTAGGGTGATAAACAGTTTAAACTACATCAGGATCTGACATGTAGATCAATTCTGGGTCCATAAAGAATCCACACAAGAGGTTCCTGGACAGGGATTTACTGCCCCCAGTTTTTATTCTCTCTTGCTGCTAAAATTACTTCTGTCAAGTACTTACAAGAGTAAGAAAAAAATGTAAAAAGCATTAATTTTTCATGTACTACTGGAACGGTCTTTTTAAATTTCTAAGTTTTAAGACAAATATGTTACTGAATTTAAAATTATGCCGAACAGCATGTGGTATTTAGCTAAATAGTGACCCAATCGCACGGTGCGCTCACTATCAAGCAGACAGCAATTTGAAACACTGAACTAAGCTGTCTAGATTTTCTCTGAGGGCAGTCACAGGCTTCATGTTACCAGTGCCAAATTATATTAGACATTTAATTTTAAACCTCAGGTACTTAAATGTAAAACCTTACAACAGTAATAGTCATAAAGCAGTGGGGCATTCCATTTCAGAGAATGGATTTTTCTATTTTTCCCCTTTAATTTATCCAGCACCTCCTGTTTTGTGGCTCTGCCCACTACAAAGTAATTTATCTAATTAGGAGATGTTCACAGCTGCTTGAAAGACAGAAGCCCCAGGAAACCAAAGGTCTGGTTCGGAAGACTTTGAAAAGTTCTCCAGAGCCACACAAAGTATTAATTTAATGTGAAAAAAAAAGGTGCAGAGAAAAATTGAATCCCAATATGTTATTTTGTCTACAATAAAACCATGTGACAATAAGCAGACATATCCTCCAGTACATTGGCATTTGAATTCCAAAAGATGCTTAGCTTCTCTCCATACCTGCTGCTTTCACAGTATTATCTTTTTATGACTAAAATTCAAAATCTTTTAATGGAGAAAAAAACCCTGAAATTAAAAAGGGTTTTTCATGCGTCAACTTGCCAGCATAAAGGACACATCTATGAGCTTACTGAAAGATGATACACTGATAGAAATGAATTATTCTTGATGTTTTGCAGCAGTTTTATTACAATACCTCTGTTTATGCTGGCATTTAGTTGCCTAAAATTCACTATTAGCACAATTTCCTTCACGTAGGAAAATAAAGCAACTTTCCCTTATTTCTAAAAAGTGGAACCTCTGCAAGAAATTAAGTCAGGCTAATTCATAACTACCCACTAGTCATCTTCATTTTTTGAATTAATATTTCATAGATAATTCCAGCTGTCATCTCTTTTGATCCAGAAGTAATCACATATGAATGTCAAGTCAGAAAAAGGTACTGCATCTATTTGGAGTACAGAGATTGTGTAGGAGAATAGGTTCCCTTCACCAGTAATTTACAGCTAGCTGTGGTATAGTACCAGGAGCAAAAGACAAGCCCAGCAAATCTTTCCGAAGCATTACAAAGTAAAGGGAAAGGAAGATGCTGTTTTTCTATTTTTCAACATATTAATTACATTGTACTTCTAGGAAGTCACTGAATTCTGCATTTGGAGGAGTCCCACTGCAGCCTCAGTTTCCGCAGCTGGCTAGGGGCCAGTACCTGCTCACCTGTCTGGAGGCACGGCAGGTGTAGAAGACCAGACACTAAATCTTGTCTTTCACTTGCCTTCATTCCAGTGAAAACACACAATGTTCTGCAACTTTTCTTTGAAGAGCTACAGTATAAAAGAAGGGCACAAAAAAGCTGAAGGTCTGGTATAACCTTTAAAAAGGAGGGTAGAATTGAGGTAGGTTAAAATAACAAAGCAGCTCAGGAGAAGAGAGTCGAGTACACAGCCTTAACTGAAACTAGTTTAGTCTAAAGGGCCGTGTACATTAGCACAGGGTGAAAGAGAAAATACTCTCCTTGCTGGAAGAAAAACAAGCTGGAGAAGGAGAACACTGACTGCCCTAGGAGACTAACCAGTTTCCAAAGGAACAGGTAAGCTGGGTGAACACAGAAGTGAACCATATCATTGAATTTTATCACTCTGCTTAGAAGCATTTCTTGCTGTCATGTAGGCTGAAGTGCAGGATGACGGCTTGAGAAAACCCTTGATCAAAATCCGTATCATCCTGATGCAAACACCATGCTCCTGAAGATGCTGGTCACAAGTCGAGAGCTCCAGAAACGGCCATGCTTAAGCAACTACGAACTTGAGAGCTGAGATGGCCAAGATTTTAAACTCTGTTTTCAGAAGGCAGCACTGAAAAGCTGTACCAAGCTGCTTAAACCCTCCCAGAGAGGGCTACAGTCAGACGTAAACCGTACACAGCACACAGATACATACAGGACATGTTAAATAGTTCTCATGCTCCTGTAATTCTCAGTATTTTTGGCACAACTATGAGCTTTTCCCTCCTTCTTATATACTTTCCTTCCCTCCTTACATACCTTTTTCCCCGACGTTACCCATAATCTCTCTCAGTTTCCTCTCAGTGCTCTCCTACACACCTCCTTTCCACCTGTTGCCCTCTGTTTCATGAGATTTCCATGGTTTCTATGATTGCCCATCACAAACCCCATGCTCAGACCCACGTGCCTCAGCACACCCCACCAGCAGCTCTCCAGTCCCAGCCCACTTGCCATGGCTGGCCCAGGGGTGTCCGAATTTGTGTCGAGAGCAGGCCAGCAGCACGTGAACTGCACTGCACTGCCCCTCTGTCCTCCCCTGCCCTCCACTGAGGTCAGATGTAATCATTTTTATATTTATTTTTTACTATCTTACATATCCTTTAAAAAGGACACCCTCTCTATCTCACTGTTGCCATCATTGCAAAATGCCATCCAGAATAGCGTGTACTCCTTTTAATGCTGTTAAACACTGCGCAGAGAAAATACTAAAAGGAAGGAAAAAAAAAAAAGTATGCCAGTCATTCACATCCTTTAAAGCAAGACCACAGTGAAAACACACCACTGAAAAGATGTGCAGGATAATTTACTGCTAATACCTACCACAGAGAATAAGCAAATAAGAATACAAAGTGAACAACCTACATTACATACCTGAAATTAAAATTGAGCATTGTTATAATTACATTAGTTATTTCCACTGAAAAAATATTGATCTGTTCTTTCATGTAATTTCTCCTTTTCCTCTCAGATGCTAGGGGTCTGGCTTCCAACAGAACATCTGCGTGAACACCATCAGTTTTTTTTTGTTTGGTTTTATTCTTTTAACTGCAAAACACCAAATTCCCTTCACCCCAAAGCAGACAACCCCCACAAGCTCCAGGTTTCTTACCACTGCTAATGCCAGAGTTTGCAATGACTGTTGCCTCACTCCACTGATCTGCACTGGAGACCGAGTAAGAGCGCTGATGCATACCATCCGGACGACTGTTGAAGGAGACTAGACTGATGCCACTGGCCATCTGAGACACAGATGTGCTAGTAGTCACGTTCCCTAGACATAAATGGAAAACAAATCGTGTCAATAGAGAAGATAAAAATTGATTTACATGAAGATGGATGGGTGCATCTTAACAGAGCAGAAAAAGAAAGTACTTAACCAACACAAAAACCAGCGCAGCCCTCCCTGAAACTCTGAAGACAGCAGTCCAGCAACCAGCTTGGGGCACCACAGATTTCAGCAGCCCACTCAAAGCTCGCCAGGTACTTCTGACAATAAAATAGCCTAAATTTTCCAGATTTCAGCTCATTCTGTTTATTCATCTACTGGAAAACACAAGCTTTGACAACCCTATGAGCAGACACATTTTGTATAGGTTCTCCACTGTTACAGGTATAACACAGAAGACAGACTGAGCATGGAAAATAAATTCTTCCCTGAAATCCACTGCTGACACTAGCAACCAAAACGAGACAACCACTCAACCTGAGGAGCTTAAAACGACTGAACTCTAAATAAAATTTCAAATAATTATGTCTCCCAAAGCCAAGATACAGGGATGGCAAGCAAGTAACTACTACTGTTGCAAGACCAAGCAAAAAACTTCTCCAGATTTTTAAATATTAAAGCAGTATCAAGACACAAAAAGCACACAATGGAGGCTCCTTCCATAGACTGTGAATATAATTCCCATGTCCTGGCCCACGGAAACGCACCTTTCACAATTCTAACAGCTTAATACACAAAGGGTGAGATACAGAGAAAAACAGTGTTAAAGAGTAAGCACTAGAAACAATTTTAGTATTTTCACAATCCATGAGGGCTAAGACCATAAAATGCTGGACAGCATGGAGGAATGCAACAGGGACAGTTTTCTCCCCACAGAACACATATGAAATGCAATTTTACTGAATCAAATTTAAGTCAAAATGAATGAAACTTTTCCAGAAATGGAGACTTCTGGTAGTCTTACTCAAAACTTGACATTGGCAAAAAAAAAAAAAAAAAAGAAAAAAGAAAAAAAAGTCTGCTCTATAGTTTTTGTTTCTGACCACATTTTACTCCATTCTTGGTGTTGAACTTGCATATTATAAAATACAAGTATTTTACAATGCTAGTTTCATTCTTCATGGCAGGATCTTCCTAAGGGCATCAGGCACTGCTGAATTTCAGAGACTACTCTCAGAAGACACCCCACAGGTCTTATATGGTTTTAAGAATACCCTTTTAAAATATATGTAAAGAGAAAGAAACAGACACAATTTTATAAGATACTATAACACTTTGGATTTCCATTGCACCTTCTACTGATGAGTTCAGAAAAATTAATGAATTAATTTTCAATGCTCCTGTGAGGTTGTTAATTATCTGCTATCATTTCCCCCATTTTTCAGAGGTTAAATGACCCAGGGCCACAAAGGAAGATTGTGGCAGACATGAAAATAAAACCCAGATCTCCTGACTCCCAGTTCTATCATTATGTCTTTTCCCAGAGCAGCCTTTGGGAAGACAGCAGAGCTTAGTGAACTACTTTGTGTTTATTAGAGTTGGCATAATTGTCCCTTTCTCTCCCTCCTTTTCCCACGACTAAATCTCAACTCTAGCCCTTAACACAGATCCATCTCTTACAGTACCTGTCCGCATGAGTCTTGGATGTACTTCTCAGTCTCAGGAACTTCTGTTCAGCAATCTCTATTTTGTAGATGTGAAACACATACAGAGATACTAAAACAATTTGCTCAATTACACCAAGTCATTTTGGAACTGCGTTGGGCAGCGCCCCTTCAGACACTGGCACATATTCCCTCTATAATCACCTTCTTCAGACAACTCTTTTGTTCACAAAACTCCACAATCAGAACGTCATCTGCCAAACTGTGGAAAAAATTCATGCTTCCAACTGGTCCCCTTCAGGACACTGCGTGCTCAACTCATCAACTGAAAGCAATTTGCTTAGGCTGGTGTTTTAGGACCTTCTGTAACAAAAAGCAAGTTGTCCAAAACAAGTTTACCACAGAAACCAGGCCTACAGAAAGGGAAGCGCAAAGCAGAGCTTCAAATTACAGCTCAGTATTTTGAAGCTGCAATAGGAAATGGAAATGCTAGCTGACAGTTTGCATTTTGAGCTGGGCACACCCTGACTGGCATCTCAGACACTGTCCTCAGCCACGGGTCCCCCAGTTCAAGAGGCCAAGGAAACAAGAAAAGATCCAGCAAAGAACTGCCCGGATGGTCACAGTTCTAGCAATGCGAGGCCTACAAGTGCTGTAGGAGCCGGGCTGGTTAGCCTGGTGAGTCTGGTTAGGAGGTGAATGGCTGATCTAATAGCCACCGACTGCTACCAGAAAGAAGCTAATAAAGATGAGGGAGCCAAACGATAGGCAGTGGGAGATGACAGAAGGCAGTAGCAACACTGCAGCTTGGAAGTGCAAATGCAGCAGTGGAGGAGGCTGCAGAAAGCAGTTGGAGGATCTCTGTCCTTGCGGGTTTCCAAAGCTCAGCTACACAAAACCGCAGCTGAACCCACCCAGCACTGGTAACAGCCCTGCTTCAGGCAGGAGGATGGCAGGGATGATCTCCAGAGCTCCTGTCAACCAACGTTTGCAGGGCTCTGTGAATGACTAAACTGCCTTTTCCTTTTTTCTTCCATCTCAAGGCAAAACAAGACTGAGCTTTTCAAGCTCAGAAGCTACTCTGCTTTCCCATTTGATTCAAAATATTTTGAACAATTTGCACCTTGATACATTTAATTTAAGCAGAAAAATGACTTCTGTTCTTTTTCTCGATGCCTTGCGGTCCTCTGATGAAAACTTAAGACAAGAGACCCCTACAGATCCTTTATTTAATTATTTTAAAATGAGCTTACAGAAAAGTTACCAAATTTATTCTAGGCTTGTTTCTGAATTTGTTTATTAGCCTTTCACTTTGCAATTAACTCAACTGACTGAGTTTACCAAATCGAATTTCCGGGTGACAATTATGTGGCAGATTAATCCAAACTCTTTGCTTTATTTTTGCTGCGGCACCTTCAGAGTATTACTGGTAAATGGCTTTGGAAACAACTTATTTTTCACAAACAATTAGGTTTCCTATTGAGAAACACACACAAGCCTCCTCCTCCCATCAAGTGCCTGACAAATGGCATCTACCCTGCCAGACAGAAGAGCAAAGCGCACTTTTAGCCTGTAGCTATCTTTCATTCTGCGCCTGGTAAAACGGGGAGCTACATTTGATGAATTCCTGAAAGAGAATCTTTGTAACAAAGATCATGAAGGAGAAAACTGGGATGTGAAAGCTGAGATGGAGCATTTCCTGGGTATCATGGCAAAACGGAAAACAATTACTGGACATCTCTGCCTGACACATCACTGTTATTCTGTGCTGGGTGGCTGAATTGCAGAGACCAACAATGTTGGTATGTTGACAGCTTTTGTCCAGTTCACAGATTTCTGTTTTTTAATCAAGTGTCCAGTTGCTTTCTGACCATGGTGCAAAAACAAAACATTAAAAGGACATCTGGCATAACATTAAGACTTACACGTCATCATGGCAGCACCAAGCGCTTTACTTTTGCCTTAGTGCCACCTCCTGAAACTCTGCAGCTCAGGTTATGACATTCATCTGTTGAGAAACTACAAACCAAATGGGAATTATTTTTCACATTATATTTGTGAAAGCTACGGACTGTTAGCAAAAAATAGCTGCCAAGTCCCATTGTTTATACCTTAGTGATCCATGATACAACCCAACTCAGCTCTTTCTGCTGCCACCATCTGATAACCCCGTTACCAGCTTGCCCCCTGCGATACCTTTTATTCAAGGTTAAATTCCACTTTTTTTGACACACTGTAAGATCTTTTCTCAACATGTCAGACTACGCAAGTCAGGATCCACAGGCAGACATCAGAAGGGCTGATTTACAGAATACACCTTGAGCAGGTCCATTCCCTGCTCCACCAAAATGGGTTCAGCTCTAGCACAAACTCGTAGTTACAACCTTATTTAAAAATCGTAATTTCCCAATCTATTGCTATTTCTTCCCATCTCTCAATCTAATTGCAGCATGCCCAAGACATGTATTCCACTGCAGCAGTATGCAGTAATGCATGCTGTCACACCCAAACAAGGGCTACTGGAAGTTAACTGCTGCTCTTGTGCTCTTCCTGCATAAGGCTTTTACGAACAGCCCTATGGTTTTTCCCTTCTGTACCAGGAAAACCCCAGTCCTCGCCTCCACAAAGCAACTGTCCCTTGTTTTTGCTTCAAGACGAAGCTTCAACAGCAGAAATTATCTCAGCCTTTTAGCAGACAAGTTAAAAATAGGAGAGCAAGAATACTCACTGGAAGGTAAGCCCTGCAGGTATATGCAGCCTTCATGTTAAGCTCTTACCAGCGATGACAACGCATTCTGCATCTGTTGTCTTCCCCATCTGTACATGTATACACACACATGCATATCTGTTTATGTCTACCTATATGTACACAGATGGATATAAGTACATATCTCATCATTGCCATGAAACCCATGGTCAGCTACCTGGCCCACGCTGGAGTTCTGAAAGAGCGCCTCTTCAAATACATCATATATGCATCAGCTGGTTGCTTAAGTTGATTAGCAGGGGGCAGTTAAATTACTATGCTAATCCATGTATTCTCAGCACTGTTTCCTTGATATGGATATGTGTATATGCTTACTGGGAAGCCTTGATTAGTTCAAGCTTCAATGTGTCAAAGGCTCCAGATTCTTTCCAAAGAATAATTTTAGCTGTACTCACATCCCTAAAGTGTAGGAGCTGATTTGAAAAGGTACTTACCTCTACCATATGCTATTTTTCTTTAAACAATTTGCATTTCAAAGTGAATATGGCATTTATATTTGAATGAATATCAGTATGTTGCCAGAACTGGTCTCAAATGAGCAAAAAAAAGATGCTGGTCTCCTATTGAACAAAAATGTTTTCATCTACCAAAGGAGCATCAAAGGAAGAGTTCCTTTTTCTAGCTCTAGACAGCTTTATTAAAACTATCTTTTCTGATATTATAAAATACCCTGT